GGGGGGGGGGGGGGGCATTAAAGGGCAGACGTGTAGGTATTCGAGGCAGACGATGATGCATAGAAAGACGAGCGCATTTCGGTAGGACGGCAGGCATTGGTATTGGCGGAGCTTTGCAAAGGGAGACTGCGCGCTGTCATGATGCGGGGGCGTGTTATGGGGGCGTCTTGCCTCAGAAGTGAATGAGACCTTTTTGTGTGGTTCAAGCTGTTTCAGTGACCGTTGTCGTCTTGTGCGGCGACTGTGGCTCGAGAAACTTGTGGATATATGCTCAGTCGCCTGTCAAAATACGCCGGAAGATGTCCAGAGAGTACCTCAGTTTCTCACTGATTTCGCATCGTCAACGCACGTTCGACTTGCGCCTGCATCTGCGTAGGCCACAGACGTGTAGAGCAATTACGTACGGTCATCTTTGCACTGATTGTCAATGATTTATCGTATTGCGTTCGCAGGATATCGGTCAGATAGGTAATCGGCATTTGCTGCCATTCATAAGGTGAAGATGAAGCCCACACAACCACACAACCGTGCGCTGCAGATCTGGATGCGTGTGTGTGTGTGTGTCTGTCTGTCTGTGTCTGTGTCTGTGTTCTGTGTGGTGTCTTTCAGCGCTACACACACAGGATGATCAGCTGTGATTGCCTAGTGCTCAAGCTGGTCGGCGAGGTGACGAACGCCTTTGAGAACATGGCAATGCTCACCATGTCCTGCTTGCCAGGCTCCGCCAGACTTAGACATACAAAACACAAGCAGACAAGACGGCAACTCGAGCCACTCACTGCAGACACAAGCCTGCATCATGTGCAGGTAGCGAAACGGAGACACTTTAAGCTTTCGTCTGCATCCATCAGACAAACACTCATGTGTGACTCAAAACGTAACACTCAATACGACACAGTGAAAATCAAGGGGGGGAGGAAGACACAATGCCGATTCGCGCTGCTGCCGTTCACTCACCGCGAGCTCTGCGAAAGCTCGCCACCATCCTCTTCGATCGCAACCGTTACATGCACGTACATGCGCATGAATTGAACAAAACGTGCTCTACTATACCAACTCATGAATGGACAAACCAACGGATAACGGTCGACCGTTCAGAAGAGGTCCGGATCGGCCCCGCTTCCTTCCCCATGAACAACGCTCCCCCTTCTCCCCGCGCGCCGTTGGAGGCCCCATCTAGCGCCTTCACCGCCGTCTACGCAGAGGAGCTTCTCAAGCAGGCCGAGGACCACCGGCACACACAGCGAGAACTCATCGACGAGCTCCGACGACAGCGAGACAGAGCCGAGAGTGAGAGGGAGGAGTGGAAGAAGCGCTGTGAGCGAGCCGAATAGAGGGCTGCTGATTTGGAGAGACAACTGAAGGAGAAGGGAGACCATGACATCATCGAGTACCTGAGCATTCCCTGGGATGGGGGCTGGTTCAATGGCGACGTCAAGAACGGCAGACGTCGACAGCCACACGGGTACGGCATCTACACCGGCCCAGCTGTCAGAAGCGAGGGTCAATGGGCCAACGGCAAGAAGCACGGAGCCTTCAAGGAGTGGAGTGTCAAAACCGGTCTGCTGCTGTTTGAGGGAGCCTACAAGGAGGACAGAAAAGATGGGACAGTGACCGAGTACTATGACATGTACCATGATCGCTGCAACGTGAAGTTTGAAGGCATGTACAAAAGAGGGAAGAAGGACGGACCGGCGAAGGAGTATTGGTTCGAGAATTGTGCAAACATGGGAGCTTTGCTGACCTTTGAAGGAGCGTACAAGGACGGAAAACGGGAAGGGCCAGCGAAAGAATGCCAGTTATATGGCTATAGGAATGTATTGGTTTTTGACGGGGCCTACAGAAATGACAAGAGGGACGGGCCAGCGAAAGAGTACAGTGAGCATGGCAGGCTGACTTTTGAAGGAGCGTCCAAGGACGGGAAACGCGAAGGGCCAGCGAAAGAACACAGATATCCCGAGAAATTGGTTTTTGACGGGGCCTATAGAAATGATAAGAGGGACGGGCCAGCAAAAGAGTACAATGACCAGGGCAGGCTGACTTTCGATGGGGTGTACGCAGATGGCAAACAGCAGAGGCAGGGTCAGTGAGTGACTGGGGTGGGATTACATGACTGCAGTGATTGGACAGAGGTGCCTTCATGTGTAGGCCATCAAATGCACTACGTGTCTCGTTCACGTCTCTCTGTCTCTGTGTGTGGGTCTGATACACAAAACCGTCCATATACACACACGCCTTTGTGACACTTGTGTCACATCGCGGCACCTCTCCATGCGGCCAAAATGCCAGTGAACGAGGCGACAAAACGCGCACACACTGCTATATATTGTCAAAGCAGGCGCACAAAGGCACACAAAGGCAGAGAACAAAACCGTTCTCTCACTACACAAAAGCGGCTAGAGGACGAAAGGCACGATCCGATACGGCACTTTCTCCTGGTACTTGGCCCAGTCCTTGCCGTATTTGCTGGCGCAGCGTGCGTCGTCCCTGTAGGCCCGATCCAGCAGCAAAATCGTCAAGTAAACCTACACACACACACACACACACATCCGTAGAGAGAAACCCAGCCAGCGCTCATTTCGGTGGCTGAGCTACCGTGTAGAAGTAGGGCAATATGTATGAGAGCGTCACGGGCGGCGCCCACATCAACGCGGCCAATATCTCGGGCAGATAGTGAAAATGCCTGCACACACCAACCACACCATACGCAGTCCATACATCCATCCACCACAAGACACATTGCTCACCCACCCAGCCGCCCACTCACCGTGCGAGTCCCCACCAGCCCGACGCCAGCAGCAGCGATTGTTTGAGCTCCCCCGCTTCAGTGCGGTACGTGGCCACGATCATCTGCGGCTTCCTCCCCCATACCATAGCCTCACCGCTGGTGGCGCGGAACACCTGACGCTGCCGGTCGCTGTCGTAATTCACCCTGACAGTCACATGGATGGATGGATGGACAGATGGAGAGGGGGGGAAGGGTTACCAGATGAAGAATGCGCCGAGGAAGAGGCACATTGCGGTGAGGGGGATGCCGATGGTGATTGGATGCATCACACACCAGTGGGCAGATGACGTGTACACCGCTGCACACACACACACACACACACTCAGAGAGAGGGATGGTATGTCTTTTTCGAGAGTGTGTGTGTGCTGTGATGCTGCTCACATGGCACCCAGACCATGCATCCCCAGCAGATGTAGTAGCCCGCCCGGTCGTGCTGGATGTCCATCGTGCAGAAGTAGCCCGTCTCCCACACAAAGAACTTCAGCAGGTAGATCCACTGAAGGCACACAGATATCTGCAGGCACCCACCACACACAAACATCACAAACATGACACACACCCTTGTTGTGTGGCTATGGGGGCAGCTGAGCTGACCAGCATGGCGTCGCTGACGTAGCCAAAGGTCTCATACTGTTTGCATGCAAAGGAGAGGCACGCAATGGCCCACCAAGTGAGGCCGAACCGGTCGTTGGTGAACTGTTTGACATCCCACCCCAGTACTGAATGAACCACACACACACACAGGCAGAGAGAGAGGGAGAGGGAGAGGGAGAGGGGGAGGAGAGAGAGAGAGAGATCACACACATCGCTCATATGTGTGTGGTGCTGCTCACTGTTGGGGTACAGTTCAGTGCCATAGAAGAAGTCGAACATGGGATTGTCGGTGGTGCCGGAGTCCTTCGACGAGGGGAAGGTGATGCCCTTGACGTAGAGCATCAGACAAAACAGCAGGGCAAACACCGTCAGGGCCGACAGGATCTCCCCATAATGGTCATACAATATCCCTGACACACACGCGCATATCAGGGGTGTTGTGTGAGCATCCCCTCTCTCCCTGTCGCCCTCTGTGTGTGTGTACCTCCGTTGTATAGCCCCAGGCCGAACTGCGAGCCGCCAACAAACAGCGCATTCATCAGCAGAAAGTACTCCACGCCGTTGGCGTGATACGTGTTGCGATAGCCAGTGGGGCTGGGCGGACCTGCACACCCACAACCCCACCACACCCACTGCCGACACCTCCCTTGTGAGTCACAGTGTACTGACCTTTGTACATCTTGCAGGGGATCAGCCGAGTGAGCCCAAGCGCCAACCCAATGAAGCACCCAATGATCTGCCACGCCCTCACATCCACAGGCGACGGCACCTCCCGCACAAATGCCATCACCCCTCTCCCTCCCTCGGCAGCAAACACGCCAGCCACCCTGGCAAGATCTCCATCTTGCCTCTGGATGACCCACCACAGCAGCACAGGGACGATGGGCGTGACGATGAGCAGGAAGAGGGTGCCGAGAGTGCGCCTGTAAGGGATGAGCCCGACGCAGACGCCTGTGTTGTTGAGCCACATGGAGCCATCCCCGTCGGCGGTCTTGTCCTTGTCAGATCTGGCATCATCGCGTGTTGATGCTGACGTAGCGGCTGTGTCTGGCGTGGCCGCCATGCTGACGTGACACGCGGAGTAACACACCTGATCACTCGAAGGGAATGTGGAACTCGCGCCTGCTGCGAGCTTGAATCCTGGCCAAAGCTGCGAGGATGGGAGGCGCGCAAGCTGCCTGGCTTCGCTGCGATGATGCGCAGGCAGAGGGATGATGATTCCATGCCGAGTGGGGCTGACGGAGGAGGGGAACGACGTCCACGTGGCAGACGCTGTTATCACATGACCCACAGTGCTTTCCTTCTCTTCCATGTGGGAGCCGCTGGCTGTCTCGCTCACTTGACTGCACATATTTCGTGAGAGACACATGACGTCGACTGCGCGAGACGCATGTATGTATTTGAGCGTCTGATGGATCGTAACAGCTGCACACGAACCCCTCCCCTCTCCTTCCCCAAACATACCGAATCGGACACAGAATAAAGAGGGCTGAAGGTCGCTATTAGATACACTTATGAAAGACCAACGCAGCACTAATTGGTGCGTGGCACAGCCTGTGGTGCAGCCACACGACCTGTCAGTCAGGTGAGGTGGCGAGATGGTACACAAATAGCCAGTGAGATACACATCTTCAGGACGCCCAGCAGACACACAAAACATACACACGACGGGACGGGAGGGGAGGGGTAGAGACATCTGGATATGAGACCTTACTTGATGATACCCAGCCATTACAACCTGACGAAGAGCCTAATTGCATCAGCCACACAAATCGCACCGCACCTGCCTGGGCGGGTTGATTCTCAGAACAGCGACACAACAAAAACATCACTGATGCTCACATACGCCGGCCACTTATGATATAGACAGCATACACACATCGATAGCACATGCACATACGTACAAAATGCGCCTGCGCTCGCACCTCTCTCTCCCTACTCTCCCACACACACCAAGGACAGCATAGCACCGAATAGTTTTTCCTTCCAGCCGCCAGCATTGTGACCACACAACCATCCCTTCAGCTGGTGACTATCTCAAGTCGATCCATTCCAGCAGTAGCCTGATGCACAATGGAAGCCACTCATCCATGGGACAGTGGTTGCAGACTTGACTGACGTACGTGCAGTTCGAGGGCCTTCACTGCCTGCGTGGCTTCAGTGCTGACGGCCTGGTCAGGGTGCTTGGTGAAGCGCTGGATGGCCTTGACGCAGCCGCCCTATCGACAAAGGACAGGAGGACACACACAGTGACATATGTGTTCGCCCGTACCTAGCCACCCACCCTGCAAGTGATGTCATCCTTGGCTCGCTGGCTCAATGTGACACTCGTGTCGCTGATGGGGAGAGCGGCACAAACGATAAGGCGCTCATCAGTGATGCATCTGCCCCTTGCACACGCGCACCCCTACTTGAGGATGATGTTGAAGGATTCCAGCATCAGAAACTCCAGATGGTCGGCCCCCAGGCCGCCACACGCAATGTCAAGACACCCGTGGTCGATTGCAGCGATCCGCTGTACCGCAGAGAACCCCACACAAGCCAGCCCATAGAGAGCAGCCGGCGCGTCTCTAAATGGTACGCGTCCACCTGTCTGTCGTTCCCCTTCCGCAGCAGCAGGGCGCATGTCAGCGCCAAGACCGTCACATAGCTGCTGGACGGCCCGTCTTTTTTGGAACGGAAAGCTTCCTCAGTGATGGCCAAGGTGCCAGCATCGACCAGACTGCCAAGAAGGGCAGACTGCGCCTCTGGCCACACACCTGAGCACACACACACATGCCCACCCACACAGCCACATGGGTCAGTGACTTGCCTTGGGCTGTGCTGCTGTGGTAAGCTTACCATTGGGGATAAAGTTCATTGTTTTCAGGATCACGAGCATTATGTTGGCGGCGTGAATGGGCAGGTGGGAATCAGACGATAGCAGCAGCGACGACAGCTTCGCGATCATCTGTTTATCAGAGAACAGAGCGGGGGCAGCTGCCTGACACGACTGGCAGGACTTGTCGAGCAGTGACGCTGCACGCAACAACAACAACAAAACAGCCCCCAGACAGACAGACAGACAGACAATGAGCGACACACTATGACCCGTTGTGCTGCTTCTCACCCACTGCGACATTTTGGAGTGTCTGTGCCGCCGATCTGGTGATGTTGACGTAGTCGTAATCGAGCAGCTGCACCAGCAGGGGCACCCCGCCCGCGTCGATGAGCTCATCTGCCCACGGCAATTTGGCCTCCGCCGCCACAAACATGGTGTGGAACAGGGGGATGAAGACACCTGCCGTCCGGTTGTTGTCGTCGGGCAGCTCCAGAGATTCCTTGACAATCGCCACGAGGGAGGGGATAGCCCCGACCCTGTCATAGGCACACAGGAAGAGACAATGCCCCCAGTCGACCGAGGTGAATGATTGTGTGTGTCGGCACTCACCCTATGAGAGCCTCGACCGTGTTGACGCCCGCTTTCGCCAACTTGAGCAAGAGCTTCAGAGCTTCCAGCAGCACCATCGGCTCAGCCGTCGCTCCCAACAGGGGAATAATAGCGGCCCCAAACCTATCAGCAATGACTGTCGAGGTGAAATCTGGATCCTCGCTGTTACTGACGATCATGTCCGCGGCCTTCAGAACGAGCAGCTGCATATGCGGGTCGCTGCCCTCCAGTCCCTTCAGCAGGACCGACGTCATCGCTTTGACGCGGGCCGCTTCATCCTCAGCTTCATCGATGGAGCTGTAGTATTCAGCCAAGGGGTCCGCCGCATCAGGCTCGTCACCGCCTGCTGAGTTGATGCTCTCCACGGCCTCCTTGGCGCTCGTCCTGATGACGTCAGTGGGGTGCTCAAGGAAGGCCTCGATCCCTTTTCGGCAGCCAGTCTGCAGACACACAGCCACCACAGCAGCCCACGTTGACGGACGTACCCACAGCCGCGTGTGCGTGTGTGTTCGGTGCAGTGAGACCGTTGGAAGAATGGCGGTTTTGGCTCGCTGCCTTAAGCTGCCACTGAACAATCAGCCCCCCCAAAAAGGGCATGCCTGTGCCGCATCGTGTATCGCACCGTCGTACCTGAGGATAGCGGCGAAGGACTCCATCAGCTCATCGTTGAGGAGATCGTTCTCAAAGCGCCCCCAGTCCGGCCGCTGCTCAACACGGTCCTTCAGCAATTTGCAGAACGAGTCGATGCAGGAGTGGTCAACTGTGTAGCTTTGCTGCACGCGGCGCACACACCATACCAATACGTCATGAGGTGCCAGGTGCTGCTGGTGGTGGAGTGGTGGTGGTGGTGGTGGTGGTCACCTCTGTGTCGTTTCCTTTGCGCATCAGCAGCGCGCATCCACCACGGTACGCCGCCATGAAAGTCGACCAGTCATTCGTATTCCGCCCCTCCTGCATCGATGCAGTGAGGGCATTGGGCAGCACGTCGGCGTCGATTATGTTCTCGAGAATGGCTGGCTGCGACTCGGGCACTTCTCCTGATCGCACACAGGTTCGAATAAACGCCATCGAAGCCGGCGGTGGTTCGGTGCTCGTGTGTGTGTGTGTGTGTGTGTGACGTCTGTCATCTTACGAACGGTATCAGCCAGGCCGACCAAAGTCATCCCTATGATGTCGGCGGCATACTGACGCATCTCGTCGTCGGCCGACAAGAGCAGCGGCGAGAGCTTCGTGAGCAATCCGCTCTCGAACAAGGTGTAGCAGTACTGCCAAGGGGAAACTTCGGCGGTCTCCTTCGGCGCTGCAACCAAGACAAATGATAGCAGATTGGTGTGAACATAAAACATCCCTCTCGCATACCGAATTGGAAGTGTCTGATGATGGTGGTTGCGCCTCTCTTGACCTCCTTGTGCTTGTGGTCCAGCAGCTGCACGAAAGAAGGCAGCCCGTCGGCCTCGAGCAGCTCATCCGCCCACGGCAGGCCATTATCATCGGCCACGAGCACCACCAGGTGCAAGAGCATGATGAGGGCCGTACCTAGGAAACCCCATGGAAGCTGCACAGCCTGCTTGAGGGCCTCTGTGAAGGAAGATATGGCACCCACCCTGACGAAGACACACCGAGAGCGAGAGAGAGATCTCCAAGTTGCAATCGCGCCCGTTTATTGTTCACCGTATGAGTGCCTCCACTGCCTTGGCGCCTGTGCTTCCCATCTCGACCAGCAGCTTCGATGCCTCCACCTGCACAGCCGACCCAGCAGACCCTCCCAGGAGGGCGATGACAGCTGCACCGAAACGGTCAGCAATGACAGCAGCAGCGTCACCCGGCTGTGTGTTCTTGGCGATGACCGCAGACATTGCCCGCAGAGCGCTCAGCTGCTGGTGCCTGTTGCCGCTCTCGAGCTGCGACAGGAGACTGGGCGAAGCGTTGGCTTCCGAAGCGCCGAAAACAGCGGCCGGCAGGGAAGCAAAGGCGAAAACCAGAGCCAGCAACATCGCTCAAGGGAAAAACTTGCCTGATGCCCAACGACAGCTCAAGAACTGAGCACAGTTGTCCCACTATTTTTTCCTCGGCACTGCTCTGGAATTTTTGGTCAGGGCGTCTTCTACCCACCCCTAGACAGACAATGAAACACTCGATCGCCGCTGCCTCGCATCTCCACGAACGCACTCAGTGGCATAAGTGCGTCATGACAATCAACACGCACAGCACATACATCCCAGCTAGCTGCCGAACCGAAAAGGGCAATTGAATATCCTACTACACTAGCTACCCGTCCTAGCTACCCGTCCCGCATATCCACATTGTGATAAAAAACTACGAGAGTCACACTGCTCTGGACGTGCTTGGCGGCTATAGTGTGCTCGACAGGGATGCATGGGATATGTATCGCGATATGTATATGCGATGTATTCTCTCCCGCCGTCATGACGACCACGCGCCTCATTTGCCAGTGGGCGCGGTACCATCGACTGACCACCCAGAGGTGGGCCACCGCAGTGACGTCTCGGCGACGGTCTCGCAAGCGGACGCTTCTCGTTATATAATCTCGTCAGCCGCGTGAATCCTGTCTTGTTGAGCAGCGCATCAGCGTCCAGCCACTCATCAAGTGGGCGCGTACAGCCTGTGTCCGAGTGAGTAGCTGTTCTGCTCGCACGTTCCTTTCTTTCCTGACAGACACAAACAGCGGAGCAGCACAGAACAAACAGGGCACAGTCAGCCAGTCAGTCAGTCAGTCAGTCAGTCACGACCGATGGGCTCCATCTCCTCCCGCCTCGTGTATGTGTATATATGTATGTGTGTTGATGCAGTAGGTAGGTGTAGCCGCTTTTATGGCGGCCGGCCGTGTCGGTCATGTGCAGTGCAGGCTGATCGATCGACTTGGGAGGGAGCGGGGGAACGCAGCCAGCGGTCACTGACAGACATCACATCTATCACATGCGGTGTATTGGCGGTTGAAGCCATTCATATGTGTGAGTCAATACGTCACATACACAGCGGGCAGGGCAGGGCAGCGCCAACCCAACTGCAGGCCATGTCATGATCAACAACTCAACAAGAAGAAACTACTTATGCAGACAGACCCGCAAGATGACGGACAGACAGACAAAAGGAGAGGGAGAGAGAAGGCAGGCATTTCAGCAGATACGTGGCCCCCTCCCCGCCTCCCTCCCTTCTAGCAAGACAGACCAGCAAAAGTGGACACAGCAGCAAAGTGGACACAGCGGCAAGCATGCCATCCCCACACACACTACCTGCGGCAGACAGACAGCCCGACGCTCTCAGAACACCGAAACTTCTCCTTCTCCCCTCCCTCCCTCCCTCCCTGT